TTGATGTCACCTAGCCCGATCGAAAATTCAGATACTGGTATGACAATGTTTTTAATTGCAGATATCATTCAAAACACTTCTGGATTCATCATTCATGTAACTCAATTTGATGATTGGTGTTTTAACCAGGGTCATCAAGAAATTCTTATCCTCCTAGTCTTCAATCTGAGAACGGTAGTAGTGGGTTAAAAGGACAGAGTTCTATTTTGGTATCACATATGCTTAACCAGAGCACTCTTAACAAAGATGCTGGTTCAGTTTCTATTAATCAATCTAAAATGGGTGTTCGTCACATCGAGGATAATAAATCTACTAATAGTCCATCATTAACAAGTCTATCTGGTGGAAGAAACAGAGGTGGAAGCAGTGATATTCTGAACACAAGTTCTAACCGATCAGATTTGAGTATGAACATTTTAGACGAGGGGCCATTGAATGAATCACCAGATTTCGAGCACTTTTTTCAAGAAGAGTATTGTGAAGTATTGCCCTTAAGTGCATGTCGGGAGCCAACCGAGGTTGTTATTGACGTTGACAGCAACAGCAGCCCTTGTGAGAGAGGAAAACCAGAGGAAGAATGCGACAACGATGATATGCTTGGTGGCGTTTTTGCCTTCTCCGAGGAAGGTTCGTATCTAAATGTTATGTGATATAATTTCTTCCCTTTTAACAAACAAACCGTCTTTTATATGAATCTAAAACCTTATTGGAATCATCGTTCCGGTTTTGTGGCAGGTTGAGTTGTATCTCGTGTTCCTTTTTCTGATGTGCATGCTATATTTATATCGTCAACGTCGGTCTCTTTCATCGAAACGCCAGCCTAATCGGGCGGAGGCCGGCAAACTAATTGAAAGTGTGGTTTGGTGATTTAAGAAGCTACCGACTGATTGATTCAAGTAATATAAAGACTGGCTCATTGTGCCACTAGGCCAAATCTCTGGATTCCACCCTCTTAATGTGTACATGTTGTAAATTGAAAATCTCCTAAATGCAAATTTGTGAGTAAATGTTCTATCTGTGTTGTGTAAACATTATTCATTCTTCAAAGAAAAAGAAAATGTTTATATCTGTTATGCCCTTGCATACATTTTGAATGTATAGGTGAATTGAATCGTAAAATGTCACATGTCACGACTTGATTGATTGTTGAAATGTGATGGTGGCATCAACTTGAGATAAATTACTAACTCCGGGTACCAATTTGTATATTAAACCAAAATATATAGATTTCCAAGAATAAGCCAACATTTTTTATAGCAGACAAACTTTTTTTAGTATTGTAGAGAAATAAGCTCATCCAAAACATTTTTATTTTCTAGGTTAAACTATGTATTTAGTCACTTAACTATTTTGCATTTTCGGTTTAGTCACCAAAATATTTTTTTCAATAACATACTTTAAGTTATGCTTTTATTCCGTTTTGGTCACTCGTCATTAAAAAATAAATAGAATTGTTAACGTGATAAAAAATTATTTTTTCAATGACACGGTATTACCTTATGGTGATTAATACGTAACCACATGAATAGTTTGACGACCAAAACGTAACCTCATGAATAGTTTGAAAACCAAAACGCAAACGCATGAATAGTTGGGTGACTAATACGTAGTTTACCCAATTTTCTTTGATGACCTTTATGTTCTTTTCAATTTATTTACGAAAACTTTGGATACCATATCTAAACAAACCATCCTGCATCTTTGTATTGTTGTGGCGTGCAGCAATGGAAGGTACATTTATGGCATGGAATTTGCCCCCACCCACCACCTAGAGAGATGCCCTTCCCATCAAAGGAACTTAGACAATGGAGTGGTCCCTTCCAACTCTATAACCAGTCACACTGAGATACTCTTTTTCATCACCATTTTCTCATACAGCCAAAAATCTTCCACATCTATATATATATTCTTACAGCAAATTTTGGGGTCTGGCTACATGACAGTATTGACTGAAGTGGTTAGCAAAAACAAGATTTTGGAAAGGGCTTTCACTTAGGCCCCTTGCTACTATGGAGATTGGAGCCATTTTTGGTGTCCAGTCCATATCTGTTTTTGTCGTTTATTAAGGGCGAATTGTCTTATTCCAACACTACCATAGCCATGGAGGGTCCCCAGCAACATCTGGCCCTAAAACCATACCCAAAACGGCTAACTCTTCAACTTGGGATGGACAGAGGATAACAGGTGAAAACAGTTATTTATCCTAGACGAAGCCAAGTTATAGGTGAGAGGACAATGGCCTCCCAAAACTTTAATGGTCTAATTACCTCTAGGTCATTAGTAGTTTTAAAACTATTGCAATTAACCCATTGCTCCTAAATTTTGTTGCTATAATTATTTTTTAGGATATTATCGGTTTTAAAATTAATGACATTAAATCTTGACCCTAAATTTGTCTAGTTTAATTACTTTTTATTAGATGTTTGAATTTTAAAATTAGTGAAATTAAACTCTTAATTTCTTAATTTTTATAGTTTAATTACTTTTTATGACTTTTTGTTTTAAGGTTAAATAACTTGTCTCCCTCGTACTTTAATCCTGACTCTGTCCTTGATTTTCTTCTCTTAAAATTTTATAGATTCATTCCCTTGATTAATCTCTTTCGACAAGCAATGTTTTCATGGTTTTGTTGGTGGACAAATTATGCCATCAACTGTTGTCGAATCGGATAAAGTGTCGATATATGAATTTTCGTGATCAAACATGTTTAAACGTTCTATACCTTCCTTGAAATTAATTTACGGATAGTTTAAGAACAGCATCGAAAGATGAAACATTTCAACATCAAAAGGGAAAGTAATTGAGATGGCTTGTGGAAGATTAATTAATCTTGAGAAGTAAAAGCCAAAATAAAAGATTTTGGAGCATATTCTACGGCCAAAAAATTTACCCCATTCATCACTCTTAACCGATTAATATTTCTATGAAACATGTTACTTTTACAGACACGAACATAGCTTTCAACAACTATGGAATTATAAAATTCTTTAAAAAGATTGACAGCAAATTATAGCCGGCACAAATTAAACGATCTCGGTGAATTAAGGAATGATTGTTTTTTTTTGTTTTTTGAAAAAAGTTTTGTATTCGATTTTATGCAAATACAAAACGGAATAACAACTTGGGCTTCGTTAAAAAAACCTCCCTAATCTTAGATGGAAGAAAAAACGTGCACCAAGAGTTGTCAAGAGTTTGCACCATCCACATATAGTTTACACAGCTACAATCAAATTAAACGATCTCGGTGAATTAAAGAATGATTGTTATTCTCAAATATCCCAGGTTCGAGCACCAATGGCTACAGCTGTAGAGTATTTAAACGTTCATTGTCAAATGGTTGAGAATCTTTAAAATAAAATACTACCACTTGTAATCACCCTTGATTAATAAAATAATTATAGGCTTAATATGTGAACGGGTAAGAGGAAAAAATACCAGGGGTAAAAGAGTCTTTAGTAACTTAATTATTGTTTTTGTTCCGTTTTGATCACTCAACTATTTTTTTTTTCAAAATCATATCTAACGTAATGTTTTAGTTTTATTTTGATCACCCATGATTAAAAAAATTAACGGTTGGATGATTAAAACGTAACAAAAATGATTGTTGAGGTACCAAACATGTAGTTTAACCAAAAACTAATAGTAGTAGTAGTAGTATGTAAGATAGAAATGTAAATTCGCGTTCAAAGGAAGAAAATGATTACATATATAATATGTTATTTTTTTATTCCAATAATGAACAACAATGAGAGATTGTGAGAGAAATACTTGTTTCTACTGCAGCTATAATTAAACCTTGGACTTTACTGCAGCTGACAGTGGAATCAATTATGTAGAACTGAGATGGGGCGTAATGGTAAAGCCATATCCTTTAGGCTGGTTACCACTTTGTATAGGAAAAAAAACAAAATAATAAACAATTGGTGAAAATGATGGGGGACAGAAACAACAATAATTACTCAAGAAAAAAAAATGAGAAAATTTAAGGAATCACAGCCTAATTTCAGATTAAAAAACTGCCACTTTGGAACATAAATGATGAGGCTAAAATGTAGATAAGGTAAAGGAAAAATATGGCAATGTGAATCCATGGGATCAAGTTTTGGATCTTGTGATGCCTTAATATATATATATATATATATATATATATATATATCATCCACACCTATGTTATCTATGGTGCTCGAACTCAGAATCTCAAAGAATAATTACAACTCTTTTACCATAGAAACCACTTAGTTTGTACAGAGTTTTCAACTTGCTCATAAATGATGAGGTTAAAATGCAGAAAAGGCAAAGGAGTCGTAACCAGAAAGAGGAGAGAGGATATAAAAATTGCTAAAGTATATAAATGGTATTTCGATTGTATAATACTATTTTATTTAGTCTCTTGACAACTAGAGGTTATAAAATAGTCTCGATTATAAGGAACTGTTTTGTTGAGTCATTCGACTATTAAAAGTTATAAAATAATCATCCAAGTTATTCATGTGTTCTACACTCATCTTTTTCCGTTAAAAAATTGATGGTCGTCTAAGTTGGACGTTAACTTGTTGTCTAAGATATGATAAAGTTATATTTTAATGATGTTTACTGGCACTGTCATTGCTTTCAAGTATTGGCTCGACGATATAATATTTCAAGTATGAGATCGACGACATAATATGACGGAGAGTCGATCTACAAAACATAATTCAAATGATTCTAAGATAAATTTTTATCATATCTCAATCAACATGTTAACATCCAGCTCAAATGATTGTAAATTTTTTAATGGAAAATGATGAGTTTAGAACATATCAATAGTTAGGTGATCATTTTATAATTTTTAATAGTTGAGGAACTTAATAAAATAACAACCTATAGGTAAGGGACCATTTGTGTATTTTACCAAAAAATCAACAGAAAAAAGGGGAGAGAAAGAGAGAGAAGAAGGGAAGGTGTGTGACTTTACATATATTGTAGTTATTATTTATAGTCCACTTTGAAGGGCAAGATTCTTGGCTCAGCCATCACCTTTCCATTTCATTTAAAGGCAGCACATGACATAGTTCTCTATAAGATCTGCAAGTGAGGGGGAAATATACCTTAAAAGCAAGCTGCAATGGATTTGTTTCAGTTGCAAAGGCGGTTGGTTGACTATAGAGCCTCACTCTATCATGAGGTTAGTTTTTGTTATATCAGCAACTCTCTGTCTTTGCTTTCTTTGGTTTTTGGATATTAGATTTTGAGTGATGAGTTCTTTCTTGTTCCTTGTGTAGGATTTTCTGGATGAACAATTCTCCCAACTTCAAGACCTTCAAGATGAGAATAACCCAGATTTTGTGGTTGAAGTGGTGACCCTTTTCTTTGAAGATTCTGAAAGGCTTCTCAATGAACTCGCTAAAGCTCTGTGAGGGTTTTACTTTACAATTTTTAATCAATTTCCTTTTGTTATCTTTGCATTTTCTCCATGTCTTAATGTGATCTTCATCTATAGAGAGCAGCCAATCATAGATTTCAAAAGGGTTGATGCTCATGTTCACCAGTTCAAAGGTAGTAGCTCCAGGTAAATTGTTTTTTTCTCAATCTTTTAACCTCAGTTACTAATTTTAGCTTCAGATGAGATCATTAGATTGTTTGGTAAACAAGTTTTTCAGTGGTTAAATCAGATTCAAACTGTAACATTTGTAATGTTGCAATCATAATTATCTGTACTTCAAAAATTGCATTATAGGGGTTCCACCACATGGAAGAATCTTTTTAATTATATAAATTTCACATGCAAATTGCTCTTCATGTATACTTTTTATCATGGTAAAATGTTCTCAAATTAACAGCATTGGTGCTCAGAGAGTTCAGAAAGCCTGCATTGCGTTCCGCAACTACTGCGAGGAGCAGAATGTCGAAGGGTGAGTTTATTTTATGCCTTAGATTGTCACATTTCATTACTGTTAATAGTTCATGAGAAGTTTCGAGTTTTGATTGTCTTGTATAGGTGTCTTAAATGTCTGCAACAACTGAGGCATGAGTATTCTCTTGTGAAAACCAAGCTTGAATCTATGTTCCAGGTAATGTTAGTGGTTTTCTTTCTATCCAAACATGTTTTAATCCTTTGGTAACTCCAAGGATTGATTTTCCATTTTATTTACTGCAGCTTGAACAACAGATCTTGTCTGCTGGAGGTTCAATTCCTATGTAATAGTCGGCTTCAAAGAGACATATAAATCTGCAGAGAAAGAACATGGGACCAAATATGATATTTTGGCATTGTAGAAAAATTTGTTTTCTTTATCTTTTTTGTTTTTCAATTATTGCAGTTTTAGTAGGGTACATCCCCTAATGAAGGGCTCTATCTATTTTCGAGCTTAAGCTTGTATCATATCTCCAGTGTGTGAGCAATGACAAAGAATGTGAATAAAACCCTTCCGTCTGTTTCCTCCAAAGTGCTTTTTCTGGTTTTAATCATTTGATCTCATAATGAAAACAATCATGTATCTGTTTAATAACAACATATGAGTGAATGAAACGAAGATCGAGTTCTGAGACCTGAAATCCTAATACATCAAAGATGTCGGAATTGCAGAGGCTTAACATGGATCTGAAAAGGGTGATATCAAACTAGTTTGCAGTCATTTTCCATTAAAAATGAGTAACATTAATGCAAATCTGGACTATTTTGTTTCATTTCAGCATGTCTCCGAAGCCGAATAATAATGTCAAGTAACCTCTTTCATGTCTGTACTAATCCAACAGTAACCATTAAAGCTTAATCATCTCTAAACCCTAAAAACAGGTGATATGATAGCCAATAGCAAAGACCCGGAGAAGTACCCAAGTGGCCCCATCACACGAGCAAGGGCTAAGGAATTTCAAGCAGTTATGGAGAGTATGTTTACATCACGTTTGGAACGTGATGAAAAAGGAATAATAAGGGAGGAATACTTTACTTTGCTTATGCATGAATTTGCATGAGAATTTAAAGTTTGCATAACATTCATTGCATTTAATAAGTGTGTTGTTCATTCAAGCATGCATTGCATTTAAATCATCTAGTTCATTCATCAAATTAGTTCTTTTATTATATTAACTCTTAATTGTTTCATGCATGTTTTCAATTAAATATTGAATAAAGTTCACCTTTGTGTCTAGGTGCATGAGAGAAGTTAAATGGTTTCATCATATGCAAGAATGTCAGTCAGAATGTCTTCCAATTCTGGATGCGATACAGATGTGTTTGGTTCTAGAAATCAATTGGACATTATTCCTCTATCTCTTAGCTTTCCAACGCCTTTTGAATCACCTTAATCCGATATCGGGCTTGAGATATGATCGATTTATTGAAGACAGTGCAGGCTGGAATTTTGTTACGGGAATTTTATGCATGGATGATTTGGATGAGTTTGAGCCAAGGGAGAGTCTTTTCAACTTCAGCCAAGTGACAATCCATTGAAGGACTCTTAATTCACCTATTAAAGGCATTCAAAGTTGATTGTTATCATCTAAGTTCAAGGGCTGTTCATATTCTTCAAGGGAGCATGCAATGAAGGGTGATTTAATTCACTTATCAAGACAATTTTCAGCATGGAATAGCAAGAGTCTTCCACCCCTTGGACGAAATTAAGGCCAAATTCAGCTTCAAATTTTCTAGATTCATCCCCAAAATGATCTAGAATATTCATCCAACTTTGAAGATAAGAAGACAAAGCATTCAAGTGCATTTTATTGCTAAATTGATGAGAATGTTTTCATCTTTTGAGTCTTTTCATATGCTTCTTAGAAATACTATAAATAGACATTTTTGGGATCATTTGTAGGAGACATTTTGAATATATAAAACATCTTTGAGAGGTTGCTTTCATTCTTGTTCTCTTGTAGAACTTTATCAGCTTCAAGATAGTCTTGTAGTCTTCATCCATTTCCTTTTGTTATAGCGTTGGTTCCTAGCTCATATATAGCTAGTGGGTCACGTTCCATACCCTACCATTTCGATTCCAATTTTTTTTATATTGATGGTTCTTAGCTCCAAATAGCTAACGGGTCACAATCCGCTTTATCCTTACACACTTTGCCACAACAACACCATTTGCCACGACAACGCCATTCATACTTCACCATCTATTTTCATTATCATCAAACCACAACAACCATCACTCTTCCATTACCTTCAAACAACTTCCTCATTCTTTTCATTCCATCATTTCAATTATTATTTCATATCATTTCCTTCTTATGTTTATATTTATGTAATTTCAGAGTTCAAGCTATCATTACGAGGTTTTTTTTACTAGAATCACGATCGGACATTCACATATATGACTCGAAACATATAATCGAGATCATATCATTTGGTATCAGAGCTAGTCGATTCAGTAAGCGTATCATTCTTCTCTCTTCCAGGTCAGTACAAAATCAAAAAAAAATAGTCAAAAAGAAAAAAAAAAAGTTTAAAGAGGGAGGGAGTAATTATTTTCATCTTTAAAGAAAAAAAATATATATTTACTTCATCTTTATATTCAATTGTTCAATTTTTGTTACCTTTGCTTACCATCTCTTTTCCTTGTAGCCAATTTCTTTTCACTATCGTTACTACCAAACCATAATTGTTTCAGCCGAAGTCCACTAGACCTTGTAAGCCTTGAGAAAGTTCACAAAAGGACTTGAAATCAAAGCACGAGTGGTAAAAGGCAAGAGTGATCATTAAGGGTAAAAGCCATCCCGAGTGAAACACGAGTGGGAGTGACTTTTCTTGGAGTGTTTGGTGAGGTTTTTTTTTTGTTGTGTGAGGTTATTGTTTTATTACTAATTATGTCTCATCATTCGGGAGACAATTCTCAAGTTATAGGTACCGTTGAACCAAACCTACAAATTCAAGCCATGGTGCGTGAATTGACTAGGATTTTGAGGGAAGAGTTGGAACCTCTCCATGAACGTATTGACCGTATTGAAAAAGAGCGTACTCAAGGATTTCGAGAGCAAGAAGATGTCAATCAAGGAGGAAATGAAGAAGTGGAAAGACCAGAAGAAGATCGTGCATCACAACAAAGAATGGGAAATCGAGGTATAAGGCCCCAAAGGTTTCGTCCATTAATGGATGATAATCTTGTTAATATCAAGATTTCCATTCCACCATTCCAAGGCAAGACGGATCCCGAGGCTTACTTAGCATGGGAAAAGAAGGTAGAGCACATCTTCGGGTGCCATGATTATTCCGAACTCAAGAAGGTAAAACTTGATGCCCTTGAGTTTATGGATTATGCACTAATATGGTGGGATCAATTGACATCAAGTAGGAGACGCAATGGAGAACATCCTATCACTACATGGGATGAAATGAAAGCAGTGATGCGAAGGTGATTCATTCCAACCCACTACCATCGGGAGTTATTCAACTGTCTTTAAAACCTTTCACAAGGTAACCGAAGTGTTGAAGATTATCACAAAGAGATGTAGGTGGCCATGATTCGAGCCAACATCGATGAGGATCGAGAAGCCACAATGGCAAGATTCCTAGCGAAACTTAATCCGGACATTACAAACGTGGTTGAGTTGCAACATTATGTGGAGATGGAAGACATGGTGCATATGGCCATAAAGGTGGAAAAACAACTCAAAAGGAAGGGTGCCACACGATCTTATGGGAGTGCAACTTCAAAATGGGGGCAAAGTTCATACAAGAAGACTCCTCCATTGCCATCCCACGAAAGAGGAGGATCGCCCAAAGGAAGTAAGCCCATTGCCGAAACCAGCAAAGGTAAGACTGCCGCCACTCCAAATCGTTCTCGTGACATACAATGTTTTAAGTGTTTGGGGCGTGGACACATTGCAAGCCAATGTCCAAATCGCAACACCATGCTTCTTCGAGATGATGGAGAAGTTGAATCGGAACAAGAAGAGGATGAGAATGAAGATGCTACCATTGATATGGAAGAATTAGAGCATGCCGTGGAAGGAGAGGTCCTTGTTGTCAAAAGGAGTCTAAACGTGCAATCCAATGGAGGAGATGAACAACGTGAAAATATCTTCCATACTCGCTGCCACGTTGGAGGAAATATATGCTTTGTTATTATTGATGGAGGTAGTTGCACTAATGTTGCTAGTACCTTAATGGTAGATACACTTGGCTTGGCAACAACAAAGGCATCCACAACCTTATAAACTACAATGGCTCAACGATGGAGGAGAACTCAAGGTGACCAAGGAAGTTCGAATTGCTTTCTCCATAGGGAAGTACAAAGACAAGGTATTATATGATGTTGTACCAATGTACGCAAGCCATTTACTACTTGGAAGGCCTTGGCAATTTGATAGGCGAGCGATCCATGACGGTTATACCAACCGGTATACATTCACCCATGAGGCAAGGAAGATCACTTTAGCTCCACTTTCACCAAAGCAAATACATGAAGACCAAATTCAATTGAGAGGAAAATTTGAAAAAGCCAAAGAGAGAGAGACCAAAATGGAGGTAAAAGCAAAAGAGTGTGATCAAAATGAGGGAAGGAAAATTATCATTCTTTCTAAAGAGAGAGAGTTGAAAAAGTGTTTAATGACGGCAAAGGAAGCACTTGTGCTCATGTACAAGGAAATTTTTTTTAACACTAACTACCTTGATCAAAATTTGCCTACTTTTGTTGTGTCTTTATTGCAGGAGTTTGATGACCTATTTCCGGAAGAAATACCAAGTGGGTTGCCACCTATTCGTGGCATAAAACATCAAATAGACTTTGTTCCTGGTGCCGTCATTCCAAACCGACCAGCATACCGAAGCAACCCCGAAGAAACTAAGGAATTGCAAAGGCAAGTATCTGAGTTGATGGAAAAAGGCTACGTGAGGGAAAGGCTACGTGAGGGAAAGCCTTAGCCCATGTGCCGTGCCGGTTCTACTTGTGCCAAAGAAGGATGGAACTTGGCGCATGTGTGTGGATTGTCGAGTGGTAAACAAAATTACGGTAAAGTATTGTCACCCTATTCCTCGCCTAGATGACATGTTAGATGAGCTTAGCGGTTCTAAACTCTTTTCCAAGATTGATCTTAAGAGTGGTTATCACCAAATACGAATGCGGGAAGGTGATGAGTGGAAAACATCATTCAAAACGAAGCAAGGTCTTTATGAGTGGTTGGTTATGCCTTTTGGCTTAACTAATGCACCAAGCACATTTATGAGGTTAATGAATCATGTTCTTAGGCCATTCTTGGGTAAGTTTTGTGTGGTTTATTTTGATGACATTCTAATATATAGTAAAACCATGGAAGAACATGTTCAACATTTGAGGTCAGTTTTACTTGTTTTGAGGAAGGAAAAATTGTTTGCTAATTTACAAAAATGTACGTTTTGTACTGACAGGGTTGTTTTCCTAGGTTTCGTTGTGAGTTATGAAGGTTTGGAGGTTGACAAAGAGAAGGTTAAAGCCATTGAAGAGTGGGCACGACCAACAA